TGTGTTGCTGTAACTGTGTGAAGTGGTGGGGTCTCTAGGTGGGTGTGGGCAGCGTAGAAGTGTGTTGCTGTAACTGTGTGAAGTGGTGGGGTCTCTAGGTTGGTGTGGGCAGCTGTAGAAGGGTGTTTGCTGTAACTGGGTGAAGTGGGGGGGTCTCTAGGTTGGGGTGGGAGCTGGAAAGTGTTTTTTGCTGTAACTGTGTGAGTGGTGGGGTCTCTAGGTTTGGTGGGCAGCTGTAGAAGTGTGTTGCTGTAACTGGTTTGCGAAGTGGTGGGGTCTCTAGGTGTGTAGGGGCAAGCTGTGTTACGAAGTGTGTTGCTGTCAAACTGTTTGGAAGTTGGGGGTAGGGGTCTCTAGGTTGTGTGGGGTAGACTGATAGAAGTGTGTGTTGCGTGGTAAACTGTGTGAAAGTGGGGGTCTCCTAGGTTGGTGTGGCAGCTTAGAAGTGTGTTGCTGTAACTGTGTGAAGTGGTGGGGGGTCTCTAGGTGTGTGGGCAGCAGCTGTAGAAGTGTGTTGCTGTAACTGTGTGAAGTGGTGGGGGTCTCTAGGTTGTGTGGGCAGCTGTAGAAGTGTGTTGCTTGGTAACTGTGGTAAGTGGTGGGGTCTCTAGGTTGTGTGGGCAGCTGTAGAGTGTGTTGCTGTAACTGTGTGAATGGTGGTGGTCTCCTAGGTTGTGTGGGCAGCTGTAGAAGTGTTGTTGCTTGTAACTGGTGAAGTGGGTGGGGTCTCTAGGTTTGTGGTGGGCAGCTGTAGAAGTGTGTTGCTGTAAAACTGTGGTGAAGTGGTGGGGTCTCTAAGGTCGTTGTGGGCCGCTGTAGAAAGTGTGTTGCTGTAACTGGTGTGAAGTGGATGGGGTCTCTAGGTTGGTGGGGCAGCTGTAGTAGAAGTGTTGTTGCTGCTGTAACTGTGTGTGAAGTGGTGGGGTTCTCTAGGTGGTGGTGGGCAGCTGTAGAAGTTTGTGTTGGTTGCTGGTAAACTGTGTGAAGTGGTGGGGTCTCCTAGGTTGTGTGGGCAGATGTAGAAGTGTGTTTGCTGTAACTGTGTGAAGTGGTGGGGTCCTCTAGGTTGTGTGGGCAGCTGTAAAATGTGTTGCTGTAACTGTGTGAAGTGGTGGGGTCTATAGGTTGGTGTGGGCAGCTGTAGAAGTGTGTTGCGTGTAATTGGGTGAAATGAGTGGGGGTCTTGAGGTTGTGTGGGCAGCTGTAGAAGTGGTGTTTGCTGTTAACTGGTGAAGTGGTGGGGTCTCTAGGTTGTTTTGGGCAGTGTAAAAGTGTGTTGCTGTAACTGTGTGAAGTGGTGGGGTCTCTAGGTTGTGTGGGCAGCTGTAGAAGTGTGTGCTTTAAAAATGTGAAGTGGTGGGGCCTAGGTTGTGTGGGCAGCTGTAGAGTGTGTTGCTGTAACGGTGAAGTGGTGGGTCTCTAGGTTTTGTGGGCAGCTGTAAGAAATGTGTTGCTGTAACTGTGTGAAGTGGTGGGGTCTCTAGGTTTTGTGGGCAGCTGTAGAAGTGTGTGTTGCTGTAACTGGGGTGAAGTGGTGGGGTCTCTAGGTGTGTGGCAGCTGTAGAAGGTGTGCTGTAACTGTGTGAAAGTGGTGGGGTCTCTAGGTTGTGTGGGCAGCTTTTAGAAGTTTTGTTGCTGTAACTGTGTGAAGTGGTGGGGGGCTCTAGGTTGTGTGGGCAGCTGGAGAAGTGTGTGTGTACTGTGTGAAGTGGTGGGGTCTCTAGGTGTGTGGGGCAGCGTAGAGTGGGCTGATGTGTGGTGGTGCTTAGGTGTGGGCAGCTGTAGAAGTGTGTGCTGTAACTGTGTGAAGTGGTGGGGTCTAGGTTGTGTGGGCAGTGTAGAAGGTGTGCTTGGTGGATCTAGAAGTTGTGCTGTTGTGTGCAGTGGTGGGGTCTTAGGTTGTTGGGCAGTGTAAAGGTGTTGTGTAACTGTTGAAGTGTGGGGTCTCTAGGTTGTGTGGGCAGCGTAGAAGTGTGTTGCGTAAACTGTGGAAGTGGTGGGGTATCTAGGGTGTTGGGCAGCTGTAGAAGTGTGTTGCTGTAACTGTGTGAAGAGGTGGGGCCTTGAGGACAGCTCAGTTATATCACCTAATATTTCAGTTTTTTCCAATTGTTAAAACACGTTTTCTGAAACTACATCTCAGGTACTCAAAACACAAAACAGACTACTGTAGGCACACGTACAGTCAATATATGCAAAGTAAGAAAAATAGGCCTATTTGCACTATTCTACTGTTTGTTATAAACTGTCAAAAGTTTCGGCAGGTAGCTTAGTGGTTAAGAGTGTTGTGCCAGTAACCGAAAGGTGGCTGGTTCTAATCCCCGAGCCGACTAGGTGAAAAATCTGCCGATGTGCCCTTGAGCAATGCACTTAACCCTAATTGCTCCTGTAAGTCGCTCTGGAAAAGAGCGTCTGCTAAATGACGTAAATGTAAATTACAGTCAAATCAAAATCATAAGTCAAGAAACAAATAGTCCATTGTGAAAACAAAATCAGTCATTACATTTTACATTTTAGTCATTTAGGGGTCCTAAAACACACACACACACACACACACACACACACACACACACACACACACACACACACACAGCTCGAGGCCAAACTCTCTCACCCTGAGTTGATAATGACATTAACAGTCATGTGACGAGTTTCACATGACTGTTAATGTCATTATCAACTCAGGGTGAGAGAGTTTGGCCTCGAGCTGTGTGTGTGTGTGTGTGTGTGTGTGTGTGTGTGTGTGTGTGTGTGTGTGTGTGTGTGTGTTGTGATGTCACGAGAGGCTGTGTCCTGGAGGGACGTTACATCCCCCTGAGATGGCTGCAAACCCAGACAGCTATGGCTCCATCTGCTGGTATGGTCGGGAACTCCACCCCTCTATGGCCAATCTTCCCACGCAGCTGAAACAAATCAGGAGCTGATGAGCTGAAGGTTTTTGGAAGGGAAGAGACACACTGAGGGTGTGGGTGGGGGGTGAAGAAACACAGTCTCCAACCTGGGCTCTCTGGAGGACAAGAGTGCTGCACGTCCACTTCCAGGAGGAATATAAGGATTTGGAGATACTTACCTTTGGGAAATACTCACCGTTGGATATATGCACCTGTGGAAATACGTGAGAGACATTTGGAAGGACTTTTTGCTGGGTTGGCCACTAGCTGCAACGTGGACTACAGTAAGGCTGGGGAGAAGTTATCTGAGCGAGTGAGAATTATGATTTTGGATGTGGAAGAGACATCCCTGAACTGTTAACCCTTAAAGAGCCACAAGAGAACAGAATTTTGTTATATTTTCGTTAATTTCCCAAGACCTATAATAAAATCCTTGTTTTGTTTGAACCTTGTCTCCTTGCACTACTTGAGCAACCCCGCTGAAAGCTGTGTAGCCTCTCGTGACGTCACAGATGGTGGAGAATACGGGCAGCTCAAGCGTTAATAGTGCATGTCAGAGGAGGATACCGAAGGTTTGATCACCCAGTTTTCCAAGTTGGCCGTAGGCTCCCCGCCGACGGAAATGGAGGACATATTGAAAGCCCTTGTTGCTGGCCAGCAAGCCCAGATGCAAGCAAACGTGGCTCTCTTGGAGGAGCAAAAGAAAGCCAACCTTCTGAAGGCAGAGGAATTGCAGTTGCAGAGACAGAGGGTTGTCCAAAATACCCGCCCAATAAAGGCAAGTGACTTTATATCTAAGATGGGAGCTACCGATGACATTGAGGCATACCTGCATGCATTTGAGGCCACGGCCACTAGGGAAGCCTGGCCCAAGCAACAGTGGGTTGGTCTGTTAGCCCCCTTTCTAACCGGGGAATCGCTGAATGCTGTCCGGGACCTGGGCCCTGACCAGGTTACTGACTATGATGCCCTGAAGTCTGAGATCCTCAGCAGATATGGACTCACAAAGTTTGGTATGGCCCAGCGCTTTCACAGCTGGACCTTCCAACCAGACCAACCTCCTCGGGCGCAGATGCATGAACTTGTCCGAATCGCAAGGAAATGGCTGGATCCGCAGAGGAATACAGCAGCGGCGGTGGTGGAGGCCGTTGTGGTGGATCGTTACCTACGCGCCCTGCCTTATGAGGCAAAACGGTTCATCAGTCAACAGGCCTTGACCACGGCTGATCTGACCGTGGAAGCTGTGGAAAAGTACCAGGCCACAGCGGAGATGCTGAATGCTTCCCGAAAAGACCCCAGGAGTGCGGCCCCACCACAAATGGGAAGAACCCGTCCAAAGGACCCCAAGGTCTCGAACCCAGCCACGTCAGGACTTATCCCGGCTCCAGGGGGAGCCAGAAACCAGGCGGGTCCAAGAAGAGTACACCAGGAGGGGGAAACTCGACAGTGTTACCGGTGTGGGGAGATGGGACATATCTCCTGGCAGTGTGGGAAACCAGCCGATGAACCTATGCCCACTGCGGAGTCCTCCAGCTCAGCACCCACACACCGTTTTGCCTCGCTCTTGGGAGTCGTAGATGGCGGCCCAGATCGACCCCCCACCTGCCCGGTAACTGTGAATCACCATGATGTGGAGGCCTTACTGGATTCTGGTAGCCGGGCCACCCTGGTGCGTAAGGATTTGGTGGGCCCAACGTGTCTGACCCCGGGGAAAGTCCTCCCAGTTTCCTGTGTCCATGGAGACACCAGAGAATACCCCATGACTGAACTTACAATGACCAGCACACGGGGAACCATACACACGACGGCGGGGGGTGGTTGATTCCCTCCCCGTCCCTGTCCTAATTGGACGAGACTGCCCAGCCTTTTACCCACTCTGGAGAGAGTCTCAGGAGAGGATAACCCGAGTACCTCGGAAACGGAGAGGCAAGACTCATCCTGGGAAGGCTCCGGTGCAATCCTCCGAATTACTCACTCCCGCCCGGGCTCTGATAGGGATGGCAGGTGCCCAGACCGACACAGAGACGGAGCTACAGAATCTGGACAAAGAAACTGTCTGGTCTGAAGGGGACCGCTGAGAGGTATCGTTTGTTAAAGCAACAGTTAGACATGAAGACAGAAGAGTTAGATATCCTCCAGGCTAAACTCCAACAGAGCTCCTTCCCTAAGCAACAGGAGGAGCTGGAGATGCTGCGCAGGACCATCGAGGAGTGTGAGGAGACCCTGCGCAGTAGTAAGGAGGTCCAGAAGAAGGCAGAGGAGAAGTACAAGGTGTTGGAGAACAAGATGAAGAATGCGGAGGCAGAGAGAGAGAAGGAACTGAAAGCTTCTCAACAGAAGCTAAACTCTGCTAAAACCAAGGCTGATGCGTTCAGTAAGAAACTCAAGGAGAGACCCCAGAGACCGGCACTGTACAACACAGCACCAACTCACTGGATGGAGTGGAAACAGCCGAGGGCTGGCAAGCACCACGGCAATGCGGACGCCCTCTCCCGGCGTGATGCCTTCTTCGCTGCCTTTACCCCGACGAGGACGTCGGTCCCGAGGAGGGGGATGTGTGATGTCACGAGAGGCTGTGTCCTGGAGGGACGTTACATCCCCCTGAGATGGCTGCAAACCCAGACAGCTATGGCTCCATCTGCTGGTATGGTCGGGAACTCCACCCCTCTATGGCCAATCTTCCCACGCAGCTGAAACAAATCAGGAGCTGATGAGCTGAAGGTTTTTGGAAGGGAAGAGACACACTGAGGGTGTGGGTGGGGGGTGAAGAAACACAGTCTCCAACCTGGGCTCTCTGGAGGACAAGAGTGCTGCACGTCCACTTCCAGGAGGAATATAAGGATTTGGAGATACTTACCTTTGGGAAATACTCACCGTTTGGATATATGCACCTGTGGAAATACGTGAGAGACATTTGGAAGGACTTTTTGCTGGGTTGGCCACTAGCTGCAACGTGGACTACAGTAAGGCTGGGGAGAAGTTATCTGAGCGAGTGAGAATTATGATTTTGGATGTGGAAGAGACATCCCTGAACTGTTAACCCTTAAAGAGCCACAAGAGAACAGAATTTTGTTATATTTTCGTTAATTTCCCAAGACCTATAATAAAATCCTTGTTTTGTTTGAACCTTGTCTCCTTGCACTACTTGAGCAACCCCGCTGAAAGCTGTGTAGCCTCTCGTGACGTCACAGTGTGTGTGTGTGTGTGTTTTAGAACCCCTTTTGTAGCTGTGTAGTAGTGTTGACAACCAGAGGAAGACACTGCTGTAGAATTCAGGGTCACAGAACATAATTGAAGAGCCACACACACACACACACACACAGAGAGAGAGAGAGAGAGAGAGACACACTCATCAGAGAGAGGACAGAACAGGGTCTCATTGAGTGTGTCCTGGATGTCCTGGATGTCATAAAACACAGCAATACCATGTGACCCAGCAGACTAAACCACTGCTCATCTACTTAAAGAGCGGCTGCCCCTAAAAGCAACTCCTAGTTTTGAAAACAGCCCTATGTGGCATCAATATGAGGCAGAAACGTTTATTCTTGTGTCAAAATTGACTACAAAGTGTAAATAGGATCATGTTGGTCATAAAGTCAGTCTCGTCCAAAAACTGAGATTTGCGAGATGATAGGAAGAAAATGGTACGTCACGGACCATAACAGTTTTCTGGGTTTATTTAAATTCCTGCCCACATGTGCACAGCTGGCAGCACATAAGTAATCATAAATTCACCTGATCGTAACACCTTGGTCAATTTGGTTTGACATTCCATATCCCTACGGACTATCAGTAAATTACACACTGTACATGGGACAATATTTTAAAATGTCAATCGCTCCAAATTGCAATGACTTTAAAACGTAAAACAACTATAAATTGTAGAAATGCATATACAAATATTGAAAGCATTTAATGAAACAACTAAAAGATGTGCAACATGAAAATATTGTCCCATTTACATTGTGTAATTTAATGATGGTCCCTAACTAGCCCCAGAGATAAGCTATCCAATGTCAAACCAACTTTGCCATGGTTGCACACCAGCCAGTTGAAGCTAAATGGTGTAATAAGTTGGCTAGCCGACGTCAAGACACGACCTGGTTAGGCTAATTCACGTTATCTAGAAGGGTGAGTGACTAACTGTGAATGTACAAACGCTTGCCAGGTACGAACGCATACACAAGAGACACCCACATGAACCCCCCCTCTCTTCATTACACTCTTATACTCTTCATTATTCCCAGTTCTTCCTGTTTGCTTCCAAATAGCAGAAGTGGTTTAGTTTCTCATTCTCCTTTGATGATCTTCCCCAAATGCTATCTGATTAACTGAAGCTAAATACTGCTATGCTACGCCCTGATTAACTGATGCTAAATACTGCTATGCTACGGCCTGATTAACTGATGCTAAATACTGCTATGCTACGGCCTGATTAACTGATGCTAAATACTGCTATGCTACGGCCTGATTAACTGATGCTAAATACTGCTATGCTACGCCCTGATTAACTGATGCTAAATACTGCTATGCTACGCCCTGATTAACTGATGCTAAATACTGCTATGCTACGCCCTGATTAACTGATGCTAAATACTGCTATGCTACGCCCTGATTAACTGATGCTAAATACTGCTATGCTACGGCCTGATTAACTGATGCTAAATACTGCTATGCTACGGCCTGATTAACTGATGCTAAATACTGCTATGCTACGGCCTGATTAACTGATGCTAAATACCAGTGGCGGCTCCTGAACAAATTCTCAGGGAGGGCAATTTTTCTGATGATTTAGGTGACCTACACACATTTTTAAAAAGATATGTCCAGCAACAACATGAAGACAGGGGCAGCATATAAGTCAATACCAGAAGCATTTATTGACTGATCTCAAAAGTGTTGGCTTACAAAAGCAAAATAAGTTATCACAGTAAAAATAATCAAGGGTGTTCTTTCACATTCCTCAACACTGCATAAACAATATGCATTTCCATAAACAAATGAAATATCAGCTGAAAATACAGCATCTTGGTATTTGTTCAGATTGCAGGATCAACAAGAGCTTTTACCACATTTTTTGATATCTGTTTAATCTTACCTTATGGCCTGCACTTGCTTGTGAAGCTGTCGAGGGCACGTTTGATAGAGACAGCATCGATGTCCTTCTTCTGTAGCTTCTGGTACAGAATGTCGACGTGGGGCATGATTTTGTGAAAAAGCCGCAGGAAAAAAATTAAATCTTCATCATGTAGTATCCTCACGTAGCCAGCTGCCTCTCTCAAGGTGTGCTGGTCAAATGAACCCAATGAACCCGTCCGGATGGCTTCAAAACATTATATGAGGTCGTCTCGATTCTCGTAGACAGTGTTCACGACTCTGCTGTTGCTAACCTCATCGTTGTGGCGGCGGACAGCTAGCCTGTATCCCTCATCCAGTTGAGTGGCAATATTCACTCTCCCAAAAGCAGACAATCTCAACCAGCTATATGTGGGTCTTTGACAGCTAATTTTTCTTAATCTTTTCTGAAAGATGGTGCATGTCGGTTACACCAGTCGCTGTCCAAGCGGTGCTGTCTGCTGTGCCGCCTTCAGGGTGGAAGAGTAAGCAGGGGTAGCAAAAAACTGCATTAGCTACATCGCAGCCTGCTAGCCAGGTTTTCCGTTCATACCAATTTTTGGAAAATCCTCGGGTGTAGGACTTCCCCCCTTTAGTAGACACCTGTTGAATTATTAAATTTGGTCTGGGAGGTCCTAATTGTTTCGTTGCCAATTTATCTTCATTTGTTCGCCGACAAAAAGGAACTTCTTTCAAAGACACAATCGAGTTGGACTGAAGCCTAGCCATTTTGATAGTAGTAGTGAATTGATTGAGGCTGCTACCTGGTCTTTTCTAAGTTACGTTCATTCGTGGTTACGTTATGTATGACGAAAGCGCGTAAGTGCAAGCCCACAGACACCCATAGAGAATGTATTGAAAGCTTTGAAATGTGACAAAAATAGATTTTACATGGGAGTCTATGACAGACTTCTGGGCGATTTTCAACCTGACTGAAATCGCCCAAAAAACGGGCGGGGCCATTTGAAGCACGACTTTAGCCTGATTTGACATTTAGTGGCTGGCAGATCAGACGTGAACACTGATAACTGCTGTTGCCGTGATATAATTTTTTATAAATTTATAAAAAAAAAATATTTTTTTTTATATATTTTTTTTTTTATATAATTGATTAGAAAAAAAATCCCTTCCTTTTCCCGTTTGGCAGTGCGTCGCCCATATCGCCCTATTGAACAAGCCGTCCCTGCTAAATACTGCTATGCTACGCCCTGATTAACTGATGCTAAATACTGCTATGCTACGCCCTGATTAACTGATGCTAAATACTGCTATGCTACGCCCTGATTAACTGATGCTAAATACTGCTATGCTACGCCCTGATTAACTGATGCTAAATACTGCTATGCTACGCCCTGATTAACTGATGCTAAATACTGCTATGCTACGCCTTGATTAACTGATGCTAAATACTGCTATGCTACGCGCTGATTAACTGATGCTAAATACTGCAATGCTACGCCCTGATTAACTGATGCTAAATACTGCTATGCTACGCGCTGATTAACTGATGCTAAATACTGCTATGCTACGCCCTGATTAACTAATGCTAAATACTGCTATGCTACGCCCTGATTAACTGATGCTAAATACTGCTATGCTACGCGCTGATTAACTGATGCTAAATACTGCTATGCTACGCGCTGATTAACTGATGCTAAATACTGCTATGCTACGCCCTGATTAACTAATGCTAAATACTGCTATGCTACGCCCTGATTAACTGATGCTAAATACTGCTATGCTATGCCCTGATTAACTGATGCTAAATACTGCTATGCTATGCGCTGATTAACTGATGCTAAATACTGCTATGCTACGGCCTGATTAACTGATGCTAAATACTGCTATGCTACGCCCTGATAAACTGAAGCTAAATACTGCTATGCTACGCCCTGATAAACTGATGCTAAATACTGCTATGCTACTCCCTGATAAACTGAAGCTAAATAATGCTATGCTATGCCCTGACAGAATATGATTGATATTATATTGGCTTTTTTTTTCTCAGAAATCCCCAAATGCTATCTGATAAAGAAATCCAAGTGTCCCAAATGGCACCCTAATCCCTATGAAGGCTCTGGTTAAAAGTAGTGCACTATAAAGGGAATATGGTGCTATTTTGGACACATCCACGGTACATGCATTGTCCAGACAGAACGATAGTAATCTAACACCAAAATGTTCTCTCTTTGTCTTCCAGAAATCCTCCAAGGCATCAGAGGATGCCAGCGGTGATCTGAAGAGAGACAGAACAGAGAGAAAAAGCGTCAGTTTCCTCAACTGTGTCGGTGTGATCTCAGCGGACGGAGGAGACAGCACCAGCACCATGGAGGCGGAGGCCCACCCTGAGAGCTGCTACCCCAGCCAAGGGCTCAACGGCCAGGGCAACAAACACCAGCCACAGCCCCTGGACATTGAGGTAGCTCATGAGATAGCCTACTTAGACGAGGTGTTAGAATCTAACTGCTGTGACCCTGGGGTTGATACCACGCCATCACCCTCTAACGGGACTGCGACCCCTGAGAAACACCCCAGGGAGGTCAGCATCGACGGGACCGGGCCGTCTGTCCACATCTCCAACACAGACACAACATGCCCACAGACCAACCATGAGGTCATAGTAGAGGGGAGGAAGCAGACTATCTTAATTGAACACCAGGATGTCAATTACACCAACAACACCTATAACACCAAGCCCAACGGCCACTCTGGACCAATGGGAGGAGAGCAGGAGAACTACAGGAAGCAGGGAGGAGAGACAACATCCCCCACTATGACCACCATCAAGAAGGAGGCGCGTTTCGAGCTACGGGCCTTCAAGGAGGAGAAAAAGCCGTCCAAGCTGTTCGACCCGTGTGAGAAGGAAGTGCGCGTGAAGAAGGTGCGTCCCTCGGATGAGGTGGCAGAGCTGGAGAGGGAGAGGCTGGAGCTGATCAGGGGCCAGGCGGTAAAGAAGAACCCAGACATGGGGACAAAATGGTGGAACCCTCCTCAGGAGAAGAGTCTGGAGGAGGAGCTGGAGCCAGACAAACTAGAGTCACACAGGAAGTACGAGGAGAGGAAGCAGCAGATGAGGTCAGAGTTCACTGGTGGGATGTCCCAGACGTACACCCAGTACTCCATGACCTTTGACCCTAATGCTGACCCTGAGCCTGGCCGCGACACGCCCGAGCTCTTCCAGAGCACCAAGGAGGACATTGTGGTGGAGCAGATCGACTTCTCTACCGCCAGGAAGCAGTTCCTCCAGATAGAACGCGCCAGGCAGCAGGCGGCCGAGAGGTCACAGGTCACAGCTCCCAAGAGAGACGTGGCTCCCCAGCTGTACTCGGCCAAGCCCTTCTCCAGATCGCCAGACACCGTCACCCACGTGGAGCGATCCTCCGGTTACGTCACTGTGAGCTACAGCAGTTACCAAGGCTCACCACTAGAGGGCAGCGACGCAACCAACACCACGGTCCGGGCAGAGAGGATCTATTGCAGCCCAGGAGGGTCCCAGTCCCCCACCTCTACCCTGGGGAGGGGCCTGGGGCTGGGGCTGGGAAAGGGAGATCCCAGTAATAGTGGCCCCAAGGAGGACTGGATGGAGAACAGAGACAGAGACGGAGACTTTACCTGCGCCAGGGCCATCATGACCATCCTAAAAGATGAGAAGGACTCTCTGTCCCTCCAGCATTGTTCCTCCTCCCTCCATAGCCCCAGCACCTCTCTGTCCTCCTGCCACCCCGAGGAATGTGACTCCGGGCTGGGCGAGCTGTCCCTGCGCTCCCTGGATAACACTACGCTGGACGACTTCAGCATGAATAACGTGTCCGACAGTGGGGCGTCAAACGAGACCATGACGGCCTACCTGGGGGAGACGTCTCTGGGGGAGTACTCCTTCCCCTCCACCCCCCAGGCCACCACGCCCGTCAACGGAAAGATGGAGGGAGGCACACCCATGTCCCCTGGGGAACAGAATGAGGGAAGAGGCACCCCCATGTCCCCTGGGGAACAGAACGAGGGAAGAGGCACCCCCATGTCCCCTGGGGAACAGAACGAGGGAAGAGGCACCCCCATGTCCCCTGGGGAACAGAACGAGGGAAGTCAGAGTCTGTTGGAGGAGGAGCTGGAGTACCATGCAGGGATCCTGGTGCAGAGTGTCATCCAGCACGCCATGATGAACCAGAACCAGACTCAGCAGGGCGAGGAGTGGCAGGGGGTCGCCCTCGCCGCGCCACAGTCCTCCCCCCTCCCCCTCCAGGAGAGGCACGTAGACTTAGACGTTCTACCGCCGTCTTCTGGGAACCTTTTATCACAACCTACAGAGTATCAGTCACCCGCACCTCTATACCTCCAGTCACCCACACCTCTATACCTCCAGTCACCCACACCGCTAGACCTCCAGTCACCCGCACCGCTAGACCTCCAGTCACCCGCACCGCTAGACCTCCAGTCACCCACACCGCTAGACTCACCTCCAAGCCCACTGCAGCAGTCACCAACACCCTTACAGTCCCTCCAGTCAGCCCCACCCCAGTACCAGTCAACTCCATCACCTCAGCCACTGTCACCTCCAGCCCAGTTCCAGTCAAGTCCAACCCAACATCAGTCTCCTTCACCCCAGCTCCAGCCCCTCCTAACCCCGATGGAGAGACCTGCCTACGCCTCCCCTCCACAGAGATCTTCATCCGGGGGTCCTAAGATCCTCATCCAGTCCGCACTCAGTCGTTCGCTGGCCCTAAACCCAGACCCCGTCCCAGCCCGCACTCCTGTCCTCATCCCTCCCCGTCCCATAGAGCCCTACCAGCCTCCAGAGCTGTCTCCGACCCTGAGTGAAAAGGACCAGTTCAGCTTCTTCTCTAAGTACTCCGAGGCGGCCGAGCTCCGCAGCACAGCCGCAGGGACCAAAGCCCAGGAGACTGAGCAGAGTGCCGGGCCATTCAAGCTGCGCTCCCGGAAGCAGAGGACTCTGTCCATGATCGAGGAAGAGATCCGAGCGGCGCAGGAGAGAGAGGAAGAGCTGAAGAAGCAGAGGCAGAGACCGGGAGCGGTGAGGTCAGGACTGGACCCCAGAACCAACCAGACAGGCAGGCCCAAGACGATAACTATCATCCCCAGGGACCAGCACAAGACCAACAGCCTGCCCGCCAAACTCACCCTCTCTGGGAGCCTGCCACCCACCAAACTCACCCTCCCCTATCCCCTAAACTATTCTGGGGGGGCCGGGCCCCCTCCCCCCCGTACGCGAAACCAGGTGACCCAAGGGGAATTAACCCCTTTTCTGCCGCCTTTTTTTTTATCAAGGAACTAAAAGGGGGGTTTAAGGACCCCCCCTTTAAAAAAACTTAATTATTTTTGTTTTGTTGGTCCCCTTTGGGGGCGCTTGTATACCCCGGGAACTATTTCCCCCTTCCAAAACCGCGGCCAACAATTCCCCGTTTAAAAAAGGGGGGGTAATTTTTTCCCCCTTTTTTTGGGGGTTTCAATAAAAAATTTGCCCCCTGATAACCTTAGACCTTTGGGGGTTTTTTTCCCGTGTTTCATGTTTCCCCCCAAAAAAGGTTAATTTTATTGGGGCTATTTTGGCCCCCTCCTTTTTTCGGCTTTCATTAAAAAATAAACCCCCAAAAATACCGAAGCATTGGATCCAGGGGGAAAATGTTGTCCCCTTGGGAAACCTCCCTTTTCCAAAACCTACAAAATTACGGGCCCCTCTGGACCCCACTTCCCAAAAACCCTACCCCGTTCCCGGCACCGGACTCCCCCTGGCCAAAAAAACTACCCCCTTACAGCCCCTTTTGGGCCCACGCCTTGCCAAAACACTACACATTAAACAGTCATTTGGACTCCACTCTGAAAAACACTCCCCGTTACAGCCCTTTCTGACTTCCCTCTGCCAAAACCCCCTCACATTTTACGTCACTCGGACTCCATCCCCAAAAACCCTTTAAAACCGTTACGTCCCCTCGGGAAACCCCACTCTCCAAAAACCTACCCCTTTTACATAAACTCTGACTCCCCCCTTGCCAAAACTACACTTAAACACCCACTCTGACTCCACTCTAAAAAAACACTACACATTTTCCCTTCACTCTGGACCCCCATTCCCCCAAAAACATTACCCCGTTACAGCCCACTCGGGACTCCCACCTCCAAAAACTACACATTTCCACCCCACTCTGGACTCCACTCTGCCAAAACACTACACAGTTACTCATTTCGGATTTCCACCTCCCCAAAAACATCCCTTTTTTACAGTCACTCTGGCCCACCCCTTTCCGGGCAAAACCCCACAAATTTACGCCCACCCCTGACTCCACTCTGCCAAACACTACCAGTTACAGTCCCTCTGGACCCACTCTGAAAAAAACTAAAACATTTCCCAGTCACTCTAACTCCCTCGGCCAAAAACCACTACCATTTTACAGCCCACTCGGGACCCCATCGGCCAAAACAAAAACCGTTAAAAGTCCTCTGGACTCCCACTCTAAAAACACATTTTTTTTACAGTCACTCGGACTCCACTCTGCCAAAACACTAAAACCGTTACTTTCACCTGGACCCCCACTCTGAAAAAACACTAAAACCTTTTTACAGTTTTTGGGACTCCATCTGAAAAAACCCCTACACTTTTCCCTTTCCACTCTGGACTCCACTCTCCCAAACCCTACCCATTTTTCCCGTCACCCCGGGACATCCACTCTCCCAAAACACTACCCCTTTTCCCGGTCACTCTGGACTCCACTCGGGAAAAAAACCTACTTTTTAAGTCATTTGGACTCCCCTCCCAAAACACTACAATTACAGTCACTTTTAACCCCACTCTCCCAAAAACACTACCAGTTACAGTAAACTCGGACTCCACTCTCCAAAAACACTACACAGTTACCCCCCTTTCGGACTCCCCTCTCCCAAAAACACTACACTTACGGGTCACTCTGACTCCACTTTTCCAAAAACACAAAACCCCATTTCCGTCACTCGGACTCCACTCTCCCAGAACACAAACCACATTTTTACAGTCACTCTGGACCCCCCACTCGGGCCCCAAAAACACAAACACAGTTAAGTCACTCGGGAAACTCCACTCTCCCAAAACACAAAATTTTACGGGTCCCTCGGGACTCCACTCTCCAAAACACAACATTTTCCAGCCCATTTCTGGACTCCACTCGGGCAAAACACTACACAGTTACTCCTCTGGACCCACTCCCCAAAACCCTTCCAATTTTACGGGTCACTTTTGGGACCCCATTTGCCAAAACACTAAACATTTTTACTTTCACTCGGGACTCCACCTCCCAAAAAAACACTACACGGGAAAGTCCCCTTTTGGACTCCACCCCGGGGCCAAAACCCTACACTTTCAGTCCCCTCTGGATTTCCACTCTCCCAAAAACCCTATACATTCCCAGTCCCGGGGGGGCCCCACTCCCAAAAACCTACCCCCATTCAGTCATCTAAAAAATCCACTTCGGGAAAAACACTACCATTTTAAAGTCACTCCCCGGGACTCCATCGGGAAAAAAAAAAACCAGTTACAGTCACTTTTGGACCACTCGGGAAAAACCCTAACATTTTCATTCACCTGTCCACTCTCCAAAACACTAACATTTTTTTTACAGTCACTCGGACCCCCCGGGAAAAAAACCAACAGTTACAGTCACTCTGGACTCCATCTCCCAAAAACCCTACACAGTTAAGTCACTCGGGACTCCACTCGGGAAAAACACTACACAGTTACGGGTACCTTCCGGATAACTTGCCAAACCAAACCCATTTTTTCAAAGTCCCTGGACCCCACTTGAAAAAAAAACCCCAGTTAAAAATAAAACTTGGAAAAATCCCTTCTCCAAAAATTTTTTAAAGAAAAGGGTACCGGACTCCAACTTTGGAAAAACCCACACACCAGTTAAAGGGGGGCCAACTAAAAACATTTCCTTTTAACAAACCCCTTGAAAAGAAAAAACCGGGTTTTTTTAAAACCGTTGGGTGGGTTTTTACAAAAAAATGATTAGAGAAGAGGGGCCCAAGTTTTTAAAAAACCTTTAATTAAAAGAGGAGGGGACCATTACTACAACAGGATTAGAAAAGAGAGAGACATTTCCCTTACAAAGGGATTAAGAGAGAGGGGAACCAAAGTTACTCCCAAAATAAATTAGAGGGGAAAAGAGACCAGTTACTACAACAAAATTAAAGAGAAGGGGAAGGGGCCCCAAAGTTACAAAACATGTTTAAAGAGAGAGAGAGCCCAGTTCCCCAAAACCCTTATTAGAAGAGAGGGGGACCATTTTACTACAAACTGATTAGAGAGGGGGGGGACCATTCTACAACTATTAAAAATAGAAGGACCAGTTACTACAAACATAAATTAGAGAGAGAGAGCCCCTTTACTACAACATATTAGAGAGAGGGACCAGTTATTTAAACCCTGTTTTGAGAAGAGGGACCTTACTACAACATGATTAAGAGAAGAGCCCCTTACAAACCAACATGTTTAAGAGAGAGAGACCATTATTACCCCTGTTTAAGAGAGAGGGGGACCATTTTACTACAACATGATTGAGAAAGGGGACATTTAAAACTACAACATGTTTAAGAAGAGGGGGACCATTTACTACAACATGGTTAGAGAGAGAAGACCATTTACAAAAACATTTTAAAGAGAGAAAACCCAGTTCTACAAAAATTATTAAGAAGAGGGGGCCCCTTTAAACCCCAAAACTGAAAGAGAGAGAGAGACCGGGTTACTCCCAACATGATTAGAGAGAGAGAGACCATTTTCCCTACAACATGTTTTAAAAGAGAGGGGGGAAAACCATTTCTACAACATATTAGAAAAGAGGGCCCAGTTACCCAAACTTTATTGGGAAAAGAGAGAAAACCATTACTAAAAACATGATTAAGAAGAAGACCTTTCTACAACATGATTAGAGAGAGAGAGAGACCAGTTACTACAACATGATTAGAGAGAGAGGCCAAAGTTACTAAAAACCATATTAGAGGGAGAGAGACCATTTACTCCCAACATGATTAAGGAGAGGGGAAAAGTTACTACAAAAATGATTAAGAGAAAGCCAGTTCTAAAACATATTAAAAGAAGGGGGCCCATTACTACAACTTTATTAAGAAAAGAGGGGGAAAACCAAAATAAAACCCTGTTTAGAAGAGAAGCCCTTTTTACAAAAAACATGATTAGGAGAAGAAAACCCCACAAACAACATGATTAAAAGAGAGGGGGCCCCAATTTCCCCTACAACCTTCTTAGAGAGAGAGGGACCCTTTACTACAACATGATTAGAGAGAGAGGCCCAATTACTCCCAACAGGATTAGAGAGAGGGGAGACCATTTTATTTACAAACAGATTAAAGAAAAGGGGAACCAGTTACCCCCCAAAAATTTAAAAATTAGAGAGAGAGGGGGGACCAGTTATCCCAAAAAATGTTTAAGAAAAGAGAGGGGAAAACCATTTCCCCAAACATGATTAGAGAGAAAAACCAGTTACTAAAAACATGATTAGAGAGAGAGGGGGACCAGTTATAAAAACTGATTAGGAAGAGGGCCCATTTTACTACAACTGTTTAGAGAGAGGGGCCCCTTTACTAAAACTGTTTAAAAGAGAGAGAGGGACCAGTTCTACAACATGTTTAAAGGAGGAGGGCCCTTTTTTTAAAAAAAACACATGATTAGAAGAGAGAACCTTTTTACAAAAAACATAAATTAGGGGAGAGAGAGCCCAGTTACAAACAACATGATTAGAAGAAAAGGACCATTTTCCTACAACATTTTTAGAGAGAAGAGACCATTACTAAAAACATGTTAGAGAGAGAAGACCATTTTACAAAACATGATTAAAGAGAGGGGGACCATTTACTAAAAAATTTTGAGGAGAGAGGGACCATTTTTACTACAAAAAATGTTAGAGGGGAAAAGGGGGACCATTATTACATAAAAATGATTAGAATAAAAAAACCAGTTACTACAACATGATTAAGAGAGAGAGACCATTTTACAAATTCCCAAAAACAGTTTAAAAGGGAGAGAGACCATTTTACTAAAACAATTAAAAGAGAGAAGCCCATTACTACAAACTTTATTAAGAGAGAGAAAAACCCTTTTACAAACAACAGGGATTAGAGAGAGAGAGGGCCCCTTTCCCCTTAAAAAACCTTTACAACATAAATTTAGAGAGAGGGGACCATTTTACTAAAACCCATGATTTAGAGAAGAAAAAAAAAACCTTTTTAAACCTACAAAATGATTAGAAGAAAATGGCCCTTACAAAAAAACATGATTAAAAAGGCCCAGTTACTAAAACATGATTAGAGAAGAGGGGCCCATTTTACTCCAACTTTATTAGAGAAAAAACCAGTTACTACAACATATTAAAAGAGAGAGACCATTCAAACAACTTTATTAAAAGGGGAGAGAGGGACCATTTAAACTACAAATAAATTAGAGAGAGAGAGACCAGTTACTACAACATGATTAGAGAGAGAATACCATTACCCCAACATAAATTAGAGAGAGAGGGCCAGTTCCTACAACATATTAAAGAAAATTACCATTTAAACTAAAACCCTTTTTAAGAGAGAGGGCCATTTATAAAATATGATTAGAGAAGAGGGACAGTTACTCCCAACATAAATTGGGGAAGAAAACCCTTAAACTAAAACTTTATTAAAAAGAGAGAGACCAGTTACTACAACTTTATTAAGAGAGAGAGGGACCAGTTATTAAAACCCTGATTAGAGAAGAGAGACCATTTTACTACAAAAAATGATTAGAAAAGGGGAACCTTTAACTAAAACCTGTTTTAGAAAAGAGAGGAAAAAGTTACAAAACCTGAAAAGGGAGAGGGACCAGTTTTAAAACATGATTAAGGGAGAGCCATTTACTACAAATTTTTAAAGAGAGGGGGAAACCATTTACTACCCCATGATTGAGGAAAAGGGGGCCATTTTACTACAACATGATTAGAGAGAGAGAGACCAGTTATTTAACCCCTTTATTGAGGGGGAAAAACCATTTTTCAACAACAGATTAAAGAGAGAGGGGGCCAAATTTACAAACCAAAAATTGAAAAAGACCATTTTTACAAAAACATGATTAAGAAGAGGGGACCTTTTACTACAACAAATTAGAGAGGAGGGGCCCGTTTATTAAAAACATTATTTAAAGAAAAAGGGGGCCCAAATTTTACTAAAACCTGTTTTTAGAGAGAGAGAGCCCAAAGTTATAAAAACCTGATTAGGGGGGAAAGGGGGAAACAGTTCTACACTTTATTAGAGAGAGAGATCCCATTTTACTAAAACCATGTTTAAAGAGAGGGGGGCCCAAATTTTATTTAACAACATGTTTAAAGGGGAAGGGGGACCAGTTTACTACCACATTTTAGAGAAGAGAGAACCAGTTACTACAAAAACATGATTAGAGGAGAGGGGGCCCAGTTACTACAACAAATTTAGAGAGAAGGACCAGTTACTAAAACCCTTATTAGAAAAAAGAGAGGGGGACCAGTTACACACATGATTAAAGAGAGAGAGACCATTTAAACTACAAAATGATTAGAAGAGGGGGGCCCCATTTACTACAACTTTATTAGAAGAAAAAGGGGGCCCAGTTACACAACAGGGATTAAGAGAAGGGCCCCCATTTTTACTACAAAAAATGATTAGAAAAACCAGTTACTCCCAACATGATTAGAGAGGAGAAAACCATTTTACACAAAAATAAATTAAGAGAGAGGGGGACCATTTTATTAAAACAGGATTAGAGAGAAGGGACCATTTTTTACTCCCAACTTTATTAGGGGAGAAGGGGGCCCATTTTTAACTACAAAAATGATTAGAGAGGGAACCATTACTACAAAATTTTTAAGAGAGGGACCATTTTACTAAAACTGTTTAAAGAGAAAAGCCCATTTTACTCAAAACATGATTGGGAGATAAAAGGGGGCCCAAATTTATTAAAAACATGATTAAGAGAGGGAACCATTTTATTTACAACATGATTGGGAGGAGACCATTTTACACCCCATAAATTAGAGAGAGAGGGGCCATTAAAACAACATAAATTAAAAAGGAAACCAGTTACTACCGGGAAGAGAAGAGAGGGACCAGTTCCTACAACTGATTAGAGGGAAAAGGGACCATTACTACCATGATTAGAAGAGGGACCATTTTACTACAACTATTAGCGAGGGGAAAGCCCATTACTACAACATGATTAGAAGAGAGGGGGGACCGTTATTCCCAACCCTGATTAAAAGAGAGAAGACCATTTTCTAAAAACCTACCTATTAGAGAGAGAAAGCCCTTTTACTACAACATGTTTTATAGAGAAAACCAACACAAAAAAAAAAAAACCCAAAAGGGGGGTTGGGGGGGGGGGGTTTTTGGGGGGGGGGGGGGGGGTTGGGGGGGGTTTTTTGGGGTTTGGGGGGAACCAAAACCCCCAACAAAAAAAAAAAACCCAAAAACCCCCAAACCCCCCTTGGTTTTGGGGGGGGGGGACCCAAAACCAAAAAAAACAAAAATTTGGGAAAACCAAACCCCAACAAAAAAAAACCACCCAAAAAAAAAAAAAAAACCATTTCCTCCAACGTGATTGAGAGGAGAGCAGTTCTAAAACCCTTATTTAAGAAGAAGGCCCATTTTACTACAACAGGATTAGAAGAGCCCAGTTACTACAACATTTTTAGTAGGTGAAAACCTTTACTAAAACCCTTGATTAGAAAGAAAAAGACCAGTTATACCCCATGATTAGAGAAGAGGGGGGACCCAAATACTACAACATGATTAAGGAGAGAGGGCCAGTTTCCTACATCTGATTAGAGAAGAGGTAAAAGTTACTAAAACTGATTAAGAAAGAGCCCAGTTTACCTCCCAACAGTTTAGAGAGAGGGGAAAACCCATTTACACAATGATTAAGCGAGAGAGGGACCATTTACTAAACATTTTTAAAAGAGAGATAAGACCAGTTCCAAACAACATGATTAGGGAAAAAGAGACCATTTATTTAAAAACCCACTTTTAAGAGGGAGAAAACCTTTACTACCCCTGATTAAAACGAAGAGAGAACCTTTTCTACACATTTAGAGAGAGGAGACCATTTTACTAAAACATAAATTGAGAGAGAGAGCCCAGTTACAAACAAATTTTTAGGGGAGGGGGGCCTTATTTACAACTGATTAAGAGAGGGGCCCCGTTACTACAACCTGATTAGGGGAAGAGAGAGACCTTTTTACTACAAAAGAATGGGAAAAAAGACCATTTTACTACAACATTATTAAGAAGAGGGGGAACCTTTACTACAACATGATTAGAGAGAGAGGAAAAGGGTTACTCAACTTTAAAAAAAAAATTGAAGAGAGACCATTTACTAACAACATGATTAGAGAAGAGAGCCATTTTACTAAAAACATGATTAGAGAGAGAGGGGCCCCTTTTTACTACAACATTTTTTGAAGAGAGGAGACCAGTTACTAAAAACATTTTAGAAGAGAAGGGCCCCTTTTACTACAAATATTAGAGAGAGAGAGGGGCCAGTTACTCAACATGATTGAAAGAAAACCAAAGTTACTACAACATAAATTGAGAAGAGGGACCAGTTACTAAACATGTTTTAGAGAGAAGGGGACCAGTTACTACAACTTTATTAGAGAGAGAGAGCCCAGTTACTACCCCATGTTTAAGGGGAGAGAGACCGTTACACAAAAATTTTGAGAGAGAGAACCATTTACTAAAAAACATGTTTAAAGAAGAGAGAACCATTTCTCCCAACAGGGTTTAAAGAGAGAGACCATTACTACAACATTTTTTAGAGAGAGAGAGAGAGACCATTTACTCCCAACCCCATGATTGGGAAAAGAACCATTTTCTAAAACCCATGTTAGAGAGAGCCCCAGTTACAAACAACATGTTTAAAAGAGAGAGAGAGCCCCAATTACAAAAAACATGTTTTAGAGAAAAAGGGACCATTCTCCACATGATTAGAGGAGAAAGGCCCTTTTTTACACAACTGTTTTAAGAGAGAGAGAGAGACCATTTATTTAAACCCTGATTAAAAAACCCATTACTAAAAACTTTATTAGAAAGACCATTACAACAACATGATTAGAAGGGGAAGGGGACCATTTACTAAAAACAAATTATAGAGAGAGGGGCCCATTTCCACAACATATTAGAGAGGAGAAGACCATTAACAAAAACAAAATTATAGAGAGAGGGCCCCGTTACTACAACTATTAAGAAAGAGGGACCAGTTACTAAAACCTTTTTAAATAGAGAGAGAGCCCCAGTTTTTACCCAAAACATGTTAGAGAGAGAGGGCCCAAATTACAAAAAACATGATTAGAGAGAGAGAGACCTTTCCACAACTTTATTAGAGAGAGGGGAGAGCCCAGTTTCCCAACTTTAAATTAAAAGGAGAGGGACCGTTACTACACCTTTATTAGAGAGGAGAGACCAGTTCAAACAAAAAACCATGATTAGATAAGAGAGAAAACCCTTTTACTCCCAACATGATTAGAGAGGGGACCATTACTAAAAACTGATTAGGGGGCCAGTTACTAAAACCCTGTTTAGAGAGAAGAACCATTTTACTCCCAACATGATTAGAGGAGAGAGAGACCAGTTACTCAACAGATTAAGAGAGAGAAGACCATTTTACTAAAACCCTTTAATTAGAGGGGAAGAGAGCCCCTTTACACAACATGATTAAAATAGAGACCTTTTACTACAACTGTTTTAGAGGGGAAGAGACCATTTACACCCCCTGATTGGAGAGAGAGAGACCATTCAAAAAACATGATTAAGCGGAGAACCATTTAAATACAACTGTTAGAGAGAGAGGGGAAACCAAAAAGTTACTCCCAAAAAAAATGATTAGAAGAGAGAGACCAGTTCTACAAAAAATGATTAAGAAAGAAGCCCATTCTAAAACAAATTAGAGAGAGAGAGAGCCCATTACTACAACATAAAATTAAAGGAGAGCCCAGTTTACTACAACAGGGGAATTAGAGGGGAAGAGGGCCATTTTTAAAACCCTGTTTGAAGAGAAAACCCATTTTCTACAACTTTATTTAAAAAGAGAACCATTTACTACATCATTTTTAGAGAAGAGGGCCCATTACTACAAATGTTTAGAGAGAGAGAGCCCTTTTTTACTACAACATATTAGAGAGAGAAAACCATTTTCCCTACAAAAAAATGATTAGAGAGAGGGGACCAGTTACAAAACATGATAGAGAGAGAGAGCCATTTTACTACAACAATTAGGAGAGAGAGACCATTTTAATTTACAAATATTAGAAGAGAGGGACCAGTTATTTAAAAACAACATGTTTAAAGGATAGAAAAACCATTTTACAAACAACTTTATTAGAGAAAGCCCCAGTTACTAAAAAATAAAGGGAGAGAGAGAACCAGTTACAAACAACATGATTAGAGAGGAGAGAGAGGGGGCTATAGTGGTGAACAAAAACAATAAACAACTATAGGGGGTAAATGTAAACGATAGTTTTGTTAATTAAATCCACTCTCTCTCTCTTTTTTGTTTTTAAAATTTTTGGGTTTAAAAAAACAAAAAAACCTTTTGGGGGTTTTCCTTGTGCCCGGGGCCTGCTCCTAACAAACTATTATTTTCCTTTTGGGTTAAGGGGGCCTGCTCCTAACAACACTATTAGGTCCTGTGTGTAACGGGGCCTGCTCCTAACAACACTATTAGGTCCTGTGTGTAACGGGGCCTGCTCCTAACAACACTGTTAGGTCCTTTTGAAAAGGGGGCCCTGCCCTAAAAACCACTTTTAGGCCTGTTTAAATTGGGGCCTGCTCCTAAAAACACTTTTTAGGCCTGTGTGTAACGGGGCCTGCTCCTAACAACACTATTAGGTCCTGTGGGGAAAGGGGGCCCTTTGCCCCTAACAAAAACATTAGGCCCCTGTGGTAACGGGGCCTGCCCCTAACAACACTATTGGGTCCGGGTGGGGTAAGGGGGGCCTGCCCCTAAAAACCCTATTGGGTCCTTTTTTTAAAGGGGGCCTTTGCCCCTAAAAACCCATTAGGTCCTGTGTGTGGGCCGGGGCTCCAAACAAAAACTATTGGGGCCCCTGTTTAAGGGGGCCTCCCTCCAACAACACTTTTTGGGTCCGTGTGTAACGGGTCCTTTCCTAAAACACTTTTGGGTCCTGTGTGTAACGGGGCCTGCTCCTAACAACACTGTTAGGTCCTGTGTGTAACGGGGCCTGCTCCTGTAATTTTCCATATTTTTTATCCCCTTTTTTAAAAGCTTCTGAGGCTGTGGGAAACATTTTGGGGAATGTTTTTGAAATTATAGGCTGCCTAACTCTGCCTCTGACGTTCCTATCTCCTGATTGGCTATTTAAACAGAGTCCTGCAGTTTTTATTAGAAGGGGTGGGCTTCTCTATGTTCTAAATGTTTAGTTCTCTAAGCTTGTCTTGCAGCAGTATCCCACAACCCACTGCTCTCCCTTCTATTAATAAAATGCAGTGGTGGTTTTTGTGGTGAATCACTTCCCCCTTGTGCTAATGAGCCAGTACTGCATTACTGAATTCAGTAGACATGATGCCGCCCTTCCCATTTAAAACCAAATTTTAAAGGAGGGCCCTAAAAATTTTATATTAAAACTGATGTTTTTGACATAACAGATTTATCCTGTATGTTTTAAACATTTCCGGGGGTTTATTTTGTGAAACTGCCCTATACAAGTGGATCATTGTACATATTAAACAAAATAATTTGTTTTGGGGCATGCCCTTTAAATATCTTTTTATTCTGTGTGTACAACCTGCAGGTAAGATAGAGAAGATGCGTCCCATGCCTCTGCTTCCCTCCTTCCTTCGTCTGAGATCCCTGCCTCGCCGTCTTGGACTGGGGGGTAGCGTGTCGTCTCAAATCTTCTCTAGACTCCTGATGAAGCTACGGTCACAGTGAAGTCGGCTGGAGAAAGTAGAAGCAGTGTAGTGTTAGTTAGTAGTGTGCAGTAGTGTAGTTCAGTGTAGTGCGTAGTAGTATATGTAGTGTAGTTTAGTAGTGTAGTATGTGTAGTAGTAGTGTCGTAGTCGTAGTAGTAGTGTCGTATGTAGGTATTAGTAGTTGTCAGTAGTCAGTAGTAGTGTGTAGTAGTAGTAGTGTAGTTAGTGTAGTAGTAGTACGTATCGTAGTAGTAGTCGTTAGTGTACGTAGTGCTGTAGTATAGTATGTAGTGTGTAGTAGTACGTAGTATGTAGTAGTAGTAGTAGTAGTGTAGTCGTAGTAGTGTCGTTAGTAGTCAGTAGTAGTAGTAGTTAGTATAGTAGTAGTCTAGTCGTGTCAGTAGCAGTCAGTCAGTAGTATATAGAGTCTAGTATGTAGGTATAGTAGTAGTAGTTAGTAGTTATAGTGTAGTGTAGTCGTAGTAGTACTAGTAGTGTAGTAGTAGTAGTAGCGTAGTAGTAGTGTAGTAGTAGTGTATGTGTAGTCAGTAGTAGTTAGTAGTAGTATAGTAGTATAGTAGTATAATAGTAGTAGCTAGTAGACGTAATAGTATAGTATAGTAGTAGTGTGAGTAGTATAGTCGTAGCATAGTAGTATAGTACGTAGTATAGTAGTAGAGTAGTGTAGTAGTAGTGTAGATGTACAGTAAGTAGTAAGTAGATGTAGTAGTCTGCAGTAGTAAGTAGTAGTAGTAGTCGTAGGTAGTAGTAGTAGTAGTAGTAGTAGTAGGTAGTAGTATAGTAGTATAGTAGATATTAGTAGTAGTAGTATAGTAGTAGTAGTAGTATAGCAGTAGTAGTAGTACGTGTAGTAGTAGTATAGTAGTAGTAGTAGTAGTAGTAGTAGCAGTAGTAGTAGTAGTAGTAGTAGATAGTTAAGTGTAGTAGTAGTAGTAGTAGTATAGGTAGTAGTAGTAGTAGTAGTAGTATAGTAGTAGTAGTATGTAGTAGTAGTAGTAGTAGTAGTAGAGTGTAGTAGTAGTAGTAGTAAGTTAGTAGTATAGTAGCAGCTATAGTAGTCGTAGTAGTAGCGTGTAGCAGTAGTAGTAGTATAGTAGTAGTAGTAGTTAGTAGTATGCTAGTAGTAGCGTAGTAGTAGTAGTGTATGTAGTAGTATAGTAGTGTAGTCAGTAGTAGTAAGTATAGTAGTAGTAGTATAGTAGTAGTAGCAGTGTAGTAGTACGTAGTCGTAGTAGTAGTAGTAGGTATAGTAGTAGAGTAGTAAGTAGTAGCAGTGCAGTAGTAGTAGTATAGTAGTAGATAGTAGTAGTAGTAGTAGTGTAGTAGTAGTTAGTAGCATTAGTAGTGTAGTGTATGTAGTAGTATAGTATGTAGTAGTAGTAGTAGTAGTAGTAGTAGTAGTAGTAGTAGTAGTAGTAGTATAGTACTGTAGAGTAGTAGTAGCAGTAGTATGTAGTAGAGTTAGTGTAGTAGTGTAGTAGTCTTGAAGTATAGTAGTGTAGTAAGTAGTAGTGTAGTAGTAGTAGTAGTAGTAGTAGTAGTAGTAGTAGTAGTAGTACGTAGTAGTGTAGTATGTAGGTAGTAGTAGTAGTAGTAGTAAGTAGTAGTATGGTAGTTGTAGTAGTATAGTAGTAGTGTTAGTAGTCAGTAGTAGTAGTATGTAGTAGTAGTAGTAGTCGTAGTCGTAGTAGTAGTAGTCAGTAGTAGTCAGTAGTAGTTAGTAGTAGTCAGTAGTAGTAGTATAGTAGTAGTAGTAGTAGTAGTATAGTAGTAGTAGTAGTAGTAGTAGTATGTAGTAGTTAGTAGTAGTAGTAGTAGTAGTATAGTATAGTAGGTAGTAGTTAGTTAGTAGTAGTGTAGTAGTATAGGTAGTGAGTAGTGTAGTAGGTAGTCGTCGTAGTAGTTAGTAGTAGTGTAGTGTAGTGTAGTAGTGTAGTGTGTTAGTAGTATGTATTAGTAGTAGTATGTAGTAGTAGTAGTAGTGGTATAGTAGTAGTAGTATGTAGTAGTAGTGTAGTAGTGGTAGTATGTAGGTAGTAGTAGTACGTTAGTGCTGTGTAGTGTAGTAGTGAGTGTAGGTTTAGTAGTAGTGTGTGTATGTAGTGTAGTGGTAGTAGTGTCAGTAGTGGTGTAGTTAGTCGTGGTAGTACGTGTAGATAGTGTTAGTAGTATGTAGTACGTACGTAGTGTAGTTAGGTGTGTCGTAGTAGTGTAGCGTAGTAGTAGTATTAGTAGTCGTAGTAGTAGTGTAGTAGTAGTAGTAGTATAGTAGTAGTAGTAGTATAGTATTAGTAGCGGTAGTAGTAGTAGTAGTAGTAGTAGTAGTAGTAGTAGTAGTAGTAGCTACTACATTTGTCGATGTCTGTCACCTTGATGACTCAAAATTCTCTCGACCTGTGTGCACCTACGTTGTAAACTTTCATTCATAGGCTAGGTTGTAGCAACCTCATGATGGGTACAGGGAACATTAGAGTATCATGTAGTAGCCTAAACCTATCGGTGTTACATTGAACTGGGTGAATGGAATATGAATGACAGTCATCCGATGTGCTGTAATAGAAATAAGGCCATGTTCATAAAAATTAAAAATCCTCCCTCATCTTAAAACGGCACCTACCACCACTGAATCTGAGGTACCCAAAATATTTTCGGCCATGGAATCGCTTTTAGGCGATCATTACAAAAGACGTGTAAGACTACAAAAAATATCCTATTATACCAGAGACTCTTTATTTATACCTTCAAGGGAAGTTAGTACTGCCTAGTGCCCTAACGCCCTGTTTCTACTCCCTGACTTGTTGTTCTTTGTCTGGGTTACCAGGTGCTGGAGGCCACCCGCGTCACCCGCAGGAAAAGCAACATGGCGTTGAGGTGGGAGGCGGGGCTTTACACTAACGAGGACGGAGAAGAAGAGGAGGAAGAGGAGTAGTAGGCTGCCCTGTCACATGACCTACTGGATGGACCAACCAGGAGCATCAGCCAGCCCTGCCAACACAGAAAACAGAGAGACCCGTGGTTCCATTTTGGAATGTTTTGACTTTTCCTGATAAAGGTGCTGCTGAACTACGCAGATGATGACGACGATGGTGAGAATCTTGTGTATTGAAAGTGGATATTTTTGGAAGATTGATTTGACACAGAGACATGCGCCTGCCAAGGGATCCTGAAATATGATCTAAGAGTGGTGTCAGGGGGAATGCCAGACTGACTTCCAAATGGCACCCTATTCCTTATGCACTAGTTTTAAACTGAGCTCGATGGTAGTGAACTATATAGGGAATAGGGTGCCATTTTCTGATGAAGGGTTGGCCTTTCTCCAGATGACAGTACTTCCAACAGAAAACAATGTTACTGGGACTTGATCCTTGTTGGCGACGGCATGTCGATATTTAACCTCATATATTACCAGTATTTCTCTAAAAGCTAAGACAGTGGTGTATACATAAATATAGAAAATCACTCTTCTTCTTCAGTGATGTAAATGAGTTCATATTTATAAAGCTATAGCAATGGAAGTCCTGTCCTCTTCCTGACATTTGATGATGTACATGTACTGTAGCCTTGAACCATTCATATGAGTTCATCTAAAGAACATATATGAGTTCATCTAAAGAGCGTACAGTGAATTCAGAACGTATTTAGACCCCTTGACTTTTTCCACATTTTGTTGCGTTATTTTTTAAATGGATTAAATAGTTTTTTTCTCCTCATGAATCTCCACACAATAATCAATAATGACAAAGCAAAAACAGATTTTTTGAAATTTTAGCAAATGTATTGAAAATAGAAAACAGAAATATCACATTTACATAAGTATTCAGACCCTTTACTCAGTACTTTGTTGAAGCACCTTTTGCATCGATTACAGCCTTGAGTCTTTTTGGGTATGACGCTACAAGCTTGGCACACCTGTATTTGGGGAGTTTCTCCCATTCTTCTCTGCAGATCCTCTCAAGCTCTGTCAGGTTGGATGGGGAGCGCCGCTGCACAGCTATTTTCAGGTCTCTCCAGAGATGTTCGATCGGGTTCAAGTCCGGGCTCTGGCTGGGCCACTCAAGGACATTCAGAGACTTGTCCCGAAGCCACTCCTGCGTTGTCTTGGCTGTGTGCTTAGGGTCGTTGTCCTGTTGGAAGGTGAACCGTCACCATAGTCTGAGGTCTTGAGCGCTCTGGAGCAGGTTTTCATCAAGGATCTCTCTGTACTTTGCTCCATTCATCTTTGCCTCGATCCTGACTAGTCTCCCAGTCCCTGCCGCTGAAAAACATCCCCACAGCATGATGCTGCCACCACCATGCTTCACCGTAGGGATGGTGCCAGGTTTCCTCCAGACGTGATGCTTGGCATTCAGGCCAAAGAGTTCAATCTTGGTTTCATCAGACCAGAGAATCTTGTTTCTCATGGTCTGAGAGTCCTTTATTGCCTTTTGTCAAACTCCAAGCGGGCTGTCATGTGCCTTTTACTGAGGAGTGGCTTCCGTCTGGCCACTCTACCATAAAGGCCTGATTGGTGGAGTGCTGCAGAGATGGTTGTCCTTCTGGAAGTTTCTCCCATCTCCATAGAGGAACTCTGGAGCTCTGTCAAAGTGACCATCGGGTTCTTGGTCACCTCCCTGACCAAGGTCCTTCTCCCCCGATTGCTCAGTTTGGCCGGGCGGCCAGCTCTAGGAAGAGTCTTGGTGGTTCCAAACTTCTTCCATTTAAGAATGATGGAGGCCACTGTGTTCTTGGGGACCTTCAATGCTGCAGACATGTTTTGGTACCCTTCCCCTGATCTGTGCATCGACACAATCTTGTCTCTGAGATCTACGGACAATTCCTTTGACCTCATGGCTTGGTTTTTGCTCTGACGTGCACTGTCAACTGTGGGACCTAATATAGACAGGTGTGTGCCTTTCCAAATCATGTCCAATCAATTGAATGTACCACAGGTGGACTCCAATCAAGTTGTAGAAACATCTCAAGGATGATCAATGGAAACAGGATGCACCTGAGCTCAATTTCGAGACTCAAAGCAAAGGGTCTGAATACTTATGTAAATAAGGTATTTCAGTTTTTTATTTTTAATACATTTGCAAACATTTCTAAAAACCTGTTTTTGGGGTATTGTGTGTAGATTGATGAGCATTTTATTTTATTTGATCAATTTTAGAATAAGACTGTAACGTAACAAAATGTGGAAAAAGTCAAGGTGTCTGAATACTTTCCAAATGCACTGTATTGGAGTACATCTAAAGAGCATATATGAGTTCATCTAACTAAATGAACTAAATTAGTTCATCTAAATTGAAGAACATGTTTAGATTGAAAGCATTGGTCACTCCGAAGAAAGGAAAGAGACAAGTGGAGAAAACCATCTGCAGGTCAATCATTCATTCATTGATCACTTTGATCAATAATGAAGAGTTCAGGGGTTTAGATGGATGTGATTAGCAGGGAGTTGATAAGTAAATGGTTTGCAGTCATAGATGTGCCTATTGACAAGTATTGTTGTCATTTCAAAAAAACAATGGCACCCTATTCCGTACATAGTGCCTATGGGCGCTGGTCAAAAGTAGTGCACTATATAGGGAATAGGGTGCCATTTCAAAAGTGTTATGCAACACAAGTGGTGTGGAGGGCCCAAAGTACATACAGAGACCTATTATATATATATATACACACTACCGGTCAAAAGTTCTAGAACACCTACTCATTCAAGGGTTTTTCTTTATTTTTTACTATTTTCTAAATTCTAGAATAATAGTGAAGACATCAAAACTATGTAATAACACATATGGAATCATGTAGTAACCAAAAAAGTGTTAATCAAATCAAAATATATTTGAGATTCTTCAAATAGCCACCCTTTGCCTTGATGACAGCTTTGCACACTCTTGGCATTCTCTCAACCAGCTTCACCTGGAATGCTTTTCCAACAGTCTTGAAGGAGTTCCCACATATGCTGAGCACTTGTTGGCTGCTTTTCCTTCACTCTGCGGTCCGACTCATCCCAAACCATCTCAATTTGGTTGAGGTCGGGGGATTGTGGAGGCCAGGTCATCTGATGCAGCACTCCATCACTCTCCTTCTTGGTCAAATAGCCCTTACACAGCCTGGAGGTGTGTTGGGTCATTATCCTGTTGAAAAACTGGCAGCTTCATTAAATAGTACCCGCAAAACACCTGTCTCAACGTCAACAGTGAAGAGGCGACTCCGGGATGCTGACCTTCTAGGCAGAGTTGCAAAGAAAAAGCCATATCTCAGACTGCCCATCTTAATCTTTTCTTTTTATTGGCCAGTCTGAGATATGGCTTTTTCTTTGCAACTCTGCCTAGAAGGTCAGCATCCCGGAGTCGCCTCTTCACTGTTGACGTTGAGACAGGTGTTTTGTGGGTACTATTTAATGAAGCTGCCAGTTGAGGACCTGTGAGGCGTCTGTTTTTCAAACTAGACACTCTAATGTATTTGTCCTCTTGCTCAGTTGTGCACCGGGGCCTCCCACTCCTCGTTCTACTCTGGTTAGAGCCAGTTTGCTCTGTTCTGTGAAGGGAGTAGTACACAGTGTTGTACGAGATCTTCAGTTTATTGGCAATTTCTCGTACGGAATAGCCTTCATTTCTCAGAACAAGAATAGGCTGACGCGTTTCAGAAGAAAGTTATTTGTTTCTGGCCATTTTGAGCCTGTAATCGAACCCACAATTGCTGATGCTCCAGATACTCAACTAGTCTCAAGAAGGCCAGTTTTATTGCTTCTTTAATCAGCACAACAGTTTTCAGCTGTGCTTACATAATTGCAAAAGGGTTTTCTAATGATCAATTAGCCTTTTCAAATGACAAACTTGGATTAGCAAACACAACGTGCCATTGGAACACAGGACTGATGGTTGCTGATAATGGGCTTCTGTACGCCTATGTAGATATTCCATTAAAAATCAGCCGTTTCCAGCTACAATAGCCATTTACAACATTAACAATGTCTACACTGTATTTCTGATCAATTTGATGTTATTTTAATGGACAGAAAAATTGCTTTTCTTTCGAAAACAAGGACATTTCTAAGTGACCCCAAACTGTTGAACAGTAGTGTATATATATACAGTGCTTTCAGAAAGTATTCATGTTTTTAGAAATGTTAGCATTTTATTATTTTATTATTTTTATTATTCACACCCCTGAGTCAATACTTTGTGGAAGTACATTTGATTACAGCTGTGAGTCTCTAATATTTGCCCATTATTCTTTTTAAAGTTCTTCAAGCTCTGTCAAGTTGATTGTTGATCATTGCTAGACAGACCATTTTCAGGTCTTGCCATAGATTTTCTTGCCAATTTAAGTCAAAACTGTAACTAGGCCACTCAGGAACATTCAATGTCATCTTGGTAAGCAACTCCAGTGTATATTTGGCCTTGTGTTTTCGGATATTGTCCTGCTGAAAGGTGAATTCATCTCCCAGTGTCTGTTGGAAAGCAGACTGAACCAGGTTTTCCTCTAGGATTTTGCCTGTGATTATAGCTGTATTCCATTTCTTTTTATCCTAAAAAACTCCCTAGTCGATGACAAGCACACCCATAACATGATGCAGGCACCACCATGCTTGAAAATATGAAGAGTGGTACTCAGTGATGTGTTGTGTTAGATTTGCCCCAAACAGAACTCTTTGTATTCAGGACAAAAAGTTAATTTCTTTGCCACATTTTTGGCATTATTACTTAAGTGCCTTGTTGGAAACAGGATGCATGTTTTGGAATATTTTCATTCTGTACAGGCTTCCTTCTTTTCACTCATTTAGGTTAGTATTGTGGAGTAACTTCAATGTTGTTGATCCATCCTCAGTTTTCTCCTATCACAGCCATTCAACTCTGTAACTGTTTTAGTCATCATTGGCCTCATGGTGAAATCCCTGAGCGGTTTCCTTCCTGTCTGGCAACTGAGATAGGAAGGATGCCTGTA